TTTAACATGTGAAGAGAAACTCTCGGTAATCACATCTGATGAAATTATATGGAATTATTACTGGTTCCCAGCTAAGGATGTCATTTTCATGCTTACTAGTATCTCATTTCTTGTGTTGATTAAGTTTAGAGGTGTCCAACCCTATGCCCCACTCCGGGTTATGCATTAGCTGGCTAGAGTTCAAGAAGTCCCACCAAATGATGACATTAGTAGATTTGTATTTGACACCCCACCAGGTTTTGCCTTTGATAGCCAAGATATTTTGAAGACCTGGTTTGGGAGTATAATTTCTAAGCAAAGTGAAATGGTTGTGGAGCAAGATAAAGGAAAAGTGGTGTCTGGTACCTATCGTGGTTTCGTGATCCAGTAACATTTGGTGACACTCCTGAAGGATCCAGCAGAAAAAGAAAAGATAAGCACACCATAAGACAGTTGAAAAAAAGAGTTGGAGAAGGCCAAAGCCACAATTGCCCGACAAGAAGTTCAAGTCCAAATAGGAAGAAGTCACTAGTTGGAGTTACAAGATGTGAAGAGGGAATTGAAGCACGTAAAGGGGAAATTAGCTCGATTAGAAGAGAAGCTGGATAACAGGTTTCATTTAGCCCGACAGATAAAAAAGGACCAGAGCTTTGAGATTTCTCGATTGAAGAGGGACTTAGTGGCATCTGAAGAGGCCGTGCACTAACAAAAGGGAGAGCTTAAGCTGCATAAGGAGAAATTTGAGAAAGAAAGATCATGTTGGATGCACTTACATGATTAATTTAAAGCACAGTTAGAAGAACAAAGGAAAATCAGTCATTGTGTCGATATCGAAGAGGAGCAAAGACAAATGATCATTGAGAGAGCAACACTTCGTAATCAACTTGAAGCATCATATGACTCTTGATGATTTGGGTGATCATCAAGCGTAGTTGAATAACTGCCATGATTACGAAGTGTTGCTCTATCAAGGGTCATTTGATGCTTCAAGTTGATTACGAAGTGTTGCTCTCTCAATGATCATTTGTCTTTGCTCCTCTTCGATATCGACACAATGACTGATTTTCCTTTTATGTTCTTCTAACTGTGCTTTAAGTTAATCATGTAAGTGCATCCAAATGACCTTTCGTTCTCAAATTTCTCCTTCTGCCGCTTAAGCTCTCCCTTTTGTTACTACACGGCCTCTTCAGATGCCACTAAGTCCCTCTTCAATTGAGATATCTCAAAGCTCTACTCCTTTTTTATCTGTCGGGATAAATGAAACCTGCTATCCATCTCCTCTTCTAATCGAGCTAATTTCCCCTATGCATGCTTCAATTCTCCCTTCACATCTTGTAACTACAACTGGTGACTTCTTCCTATTACGACTTGAACTTCTTGTCGGGCAATGGTGGGTTTGGCCTTCTCCAATTCTTTATCCAACTGTCTTATGGTGTGCTTGTCTTTTCTTTTTTGGCTGGATCCTTCGGGAGTGTCACCAAATGTTATTGAATCACGAAACCACGATAGGTACCCAATCACCACTTTTTCTTTATCTTTCTCAGCAACCATTTCACTTTGCTCAGAAATTATACTCCCGAACCAGATATTCAAAATATCTTGGCTATCAAAGGCAAAATCTGGTGGGGGTGTCAAATACAAATCTACTCTTGTCATTATTTGGTGGGACTTCTTGAACTCTAGCCCGTTGACGCATAACCCGAAATGGGGCATAGGGTTAAAGACCTCTAAACCCAATCAACACAAGAAACAATATGCCACTAGACATGCAAATGACATCCTTAGTCGGGAACCAGTAATAATTCCATACAATTTCATTAGATGTGATTACCGAGAGTTTCTCTTCATATGCTGAAATTCCTTTTGGAAAATAGATTTTCGCTTCTCTTTCCTTATGAGAGAAAACATAATTACACCAATCCGAAGTGAACCTGGGGTGCACGATCATGATGATAAAGATGTTCCAAGAACCATATTTGCAGCAAGATGTTGCAGCCTTCAAACTACGTTTCTCCATTTTTGCATTTAGTCATCGCCTTCACCACCCCTGCCAAACGAATGCAGATATGCTTGTCCTGTTTGGGGATAACGATGAGCGTCAAAAACGCGACCATGAAGGCAAAACATCCATTCCCCTTCCAAGCCTCCACGCCCCTTTGATTGCTAAGTTGGTTCTGATATTTTTTAAATCCATCCTTTTGACCGTATCTCTCCTATAGAAAGTCCGATCCCACCCATTTTTCAAACTCTCCTTCTCTGTTTGGTTGATCTTGAGAAAGTTCAGGAACTTGTTGGCGTCGACGTTCTTTGGGATTATATGTCTTTTGTTGCGGAGATCAACACCTCAAATACTGGACCCTTTTCCCATGAAGCTGGCGATTTCTTCTAGAGTTGGTGTCATCTCAAAGTCAGAAAATCGAAACACGTTATTTTTTGAATCCCTGAACGGAATCAATGCCTCAATCACATCTCTTCTTGGGTCAATCTCTATCAAATGCACAAGATGCCTCATATGTTCTTTTACCCTCCTTTACTCATAATTCCCCATGCCTGTCCACCATCGCCATAGATCCTTGGGTATTGTGTCAACAATCATGCATTTTGGAACCCATTGAAAGTGAGAAAAGAAGTGTCGTAGCCTATCCTTCTATTCTCCATTGATTGGTGAGGACCGTTATCCGTTGTTACTGAACCTACTACGACAAGGCCTACAAACCTAGGGACTTTCACCCAGGGAGTACGAGGTCATGGTGCATAATTTTCTGCGTCCTATTTAGTTTAGGGATTTAGGGACTAGTCCTGTTGAGGAACTGAGATGATTCATCTTAGTCTTAGTATGCCGGGTATGTCTTTGGCCAAGCCCAGGGATTGACAAATCTATAGTGGCGGGTCTATCTTCTTCTGGGCGAGCTGCGGAGCAAATTTTTCTTTCTTTCATTTCATCTGTTTTGGTTGATTGGTTAAAGAGAGTGCTTTGATAAGATTGTTCCGTAGAGAGTGTGGCTAAACACTGCTTCATCTTTCGGCCTTCAAAGGAATGGTCGGAACTGTGATCCCGATTAGATAGTTGCATTATTCTGATTCACTACCGAAGCGAAGAAAAGGCTGGATCAATCAAAGGGGGTACTACGAGCCCTCTGCCCCACACATCTAACCAACTCGCGTGGTCCCTTCACTTCTAGGCCTTTTAGAACCCTGTCATTTAGTTGGAGGTGCCATTTGTACCTTTGAATATAATCTAATTAATGTTTTATCACAAACTCTAATCAAGGGAGGAAAGAAAATGTAAAAATCAAGGTTTTTTTTAAAAGACAAGATACCCTTTTTTTTTTACAAACACTGAACCCGGGAAGGGATGCCTACGTATCTCATTTTAGTAAGAATCAAGTGTGCGTAGTTCATTAAAAAATTGACTCCCACTTGAAAGACCACCCCTTTATTTCAACCTATTTCCCCTTATTGTTTTAAAAAAATAAAATGGAAAGACAAAGTTATTGTAAAGCTGGTCAACAATGTAAATGCCTTCTGAACAAAATTATTTTTCACGTAGCACATAAAATGAACATGTTGGTCTAGAGTGGGTACCTATCTTAGATTTTCTAGGTCAAATGCACATGATGCAAATAAACGTAGCCTACTAGGAATAGTTTTAATAGGTTTAGCACTTTATATGGAAGGTGTCTAGACTGACTTTACTCGAGTGGACAACTTGAGCCGGAGAGGGTCAGCGGACCGGTAGTAGAGCTATTCCGGCTTAGCTGGTGGTCCAACCCCACCTAACATGTGTGACAAATCCTGAACCAGGAGCGTAATCGCACAATGACTCATCTTAGACCGAAGTCTTGTGGAGCGTATCCGTACACACAGTGTGTAACAAAATTTCAGAGACTCAAAAGGTGTGCGAGAGAAGACAATTTATATACAATCACACATTATCAAAACTACAAATCATCAAAATAGCACAATTAGCCAACAAACACAAAAATTAACCAAATATAGTCAATGTACAAAGCTCGAATTCTAAAAAAAAAAAGAAGTTTCCAACAGAGTCGCAAGATCTGTCACACCTTCATTGACAAGTGCTAGGGATGTGATGGGTTCTTTTTTGAAAAATAAAAGAAAATAAAAAATGTTTTTTTAGTCGCCACTTAAAATTGAGATTTTTGGGTGTTCCAAGTCATCAGGTAAATTCCTAATCTAAAAGGAAATGACTCTTTATTTTTCTAGTCTACGAAACAAAGATAGGATAAGGAATTCTATTGATCGGCGAGTCCTGTGATTCTAGCACGGTCGCTTTATTAACTCATGTTTGGCTAAAAATATTTTTTGGATAAAAGTGTAAGTTTGTGTTAGTCACTAATTTAAAATAAAATGATTTGCCTAGGAGCGTAGCCGCACACAAGACCTTTTTTTTTTTTAAAAAAGAAAATAATACATGCCAATGATCGTAACCGAACACATGGTGGTATTTAATAAATTTATTTATTAAATAAAACTAATAATTAATGACTCAATTCCTTAATAATGAATCATTGAACTTGTTACAACATGAAAACATAAAAATGATATCTTTTTAATATATATACTATATTATATAAGCCAACAACAAAAGGACTTAATTTTACATTATATATTATATATTACCCTTATTTAGAAGTGGCACTTTTAAAGGACTAACATAGCTTAAAATAAATTGTACCTTGTGCTTATTTAGAAGTGCCACTTCTAAAGGACTAACATAGCTTAAAATAATTGTACCTTGTGCTGAAAATGTGATGACACAAATAAGGACATTTTTGGTATTCTGAAGATTACTTTTGGTGAATTCATTGTAATAGAGACATCTGTCCTCTATTTGGTGGCACGTGTGTTGTCTTTTTATACTTAGCCAGCCAGATATTTTACTTACTCATTATTACTCATATTTAGATGTACTATCTACAATTTGACTTTTCTAAGCTTTTGCCTTCTCTCACACACAAACACGTGTATTCCACTTAAAGTACAATGTTTTGTTTCTTTTTGGATTTCGACATTTGCCTGCCTTTTCAATTTCTCTTTCCAACTCTCTTTCTTCAGTCTATTTCCTCCTCTCACCTACATGTTCTCTCTTCTTTGTTTATTAATCCTGTTGGCAAATTACAAACTACAAAAGTTTTGAGATTCAGCCTATTCTTTAGTAAGAATCAATTGGATTTTTCTGATCTTGCTTTATTATAATTTGTACTAATTTGAAAGATTTTATATTTGTTACTTTCTAATGTTTTGAATATAATTGCTTGTTACAATTCAGTACATTAAGTAATTTTACTTGATCTACACATGTATTGAAATTTAAAAATGGATTGTGCATCAACGGTGTTTGATGTTATGTCTGAGTCATTTTATGTGGAGTATTTGATTATTATTTTTGGTTTTTTTTTCCTTGTAGCAGGCAAAACTCTTCGTCATTTGGGCTTTCCAGTACTATTAACAAGCTTCTGTTCTTGCTCTCAAGTTTCAGGCTTGCTGCCCATGTTTTCAACCAATAGGTATATATTTTTGGATTAATTTTGTTCGTACCTTCTTCTCTTTTTCTTCATCGTTTTCCCCCTTTTTGGACGTCTTCATTGATATTGTGGGAAGTTTGTTCTTAGATTTGCAAAACTTTCTTACAGGGAGTGCGTTTTTGCCTTGATTCGTTTGGTTTATGTGTTCTTTAATGTTCTCTTTGCTAATCTAAATTAACACCTTATCTATGTCCCATATTATACTTGGGAGGTAAAGAAGAAAGCCTTATCCCAAAATAAGAATACTATCAAGAATGTCAAACCTTGTGAATATATTGTTTACAACCTCACATGTTTTACTTCTTTTGGTATTACATTCTCTGAATCAAATAATTCTTTAGAAGATCGGAATTTTCTTCATATTTGCTCCTTCTGCTACTCTTTTCTCTGCAAAATTGATGCAACTTTTCGCTCCAAATTGGTTCTCCTTTCGCGTTGGTAAGAGAGGTTTTCGTCTTTCTGTGGGTTAGGTTTTCCCTTTTTCTTCAACAGTTTATTTTTCATGGCCTCTTACCGTTTGAAATTTGTAAAATTTTCCATTTATAAGGAGATTGTCAAATGGCTATTCAAAGTTATTGCATGTCACTGTTTCACTAAATGTTGCTCATATGTTCGTCGGAAAATTCTGAAACTTGGTGCTGGCCCTAGCATTGCCGGGAAATAGTTGCTTCTATACTCATAAGTTCGTACTTTATAGAGTTGCTACGTATTAACCTCCCAATATCATGTTGGAGCAGAGATTGGACTTGTAGTTGTACACATTACTTTAAAGCATTTATATTAGTGACAATAATAGTGTTATGTTATGTCATAAAGTAAATGCTTATGTTATATCAATTCATACTTTTATAACATGCAAAAACTGATTCCTGGCTATAATCGGTATCCTTAGGACATAGAAACTACTATTGTGCTCCTTACCCCTCTATTATGCAGTTGAAAGTTCAAAATTACTATAAAATTTAATTTCAGTTGAAATATATGTCAACTTGCTTCCGAATAACTCTGGACGAGTTAGAATTCATAAAATAAATAAGTTAATAATGACGATTTGAGATACCAAATTAGAAAATTGAAATATTGTCTGACAATTACAAAACAAATCCGTTATTGAATTCCCACCATTTATTACATACTGTTGTTTAGTTTGTTTTACCCTCAACTGTTTTGACGGACGAGGGAATAGAATGAAATACATAAAACAACCATATGAACGGTAGAATTATATGAACAATTTCTTCGGAGCACAAAGACTGCTTATATATTGAAACAAAGTTTCTTTTTTGCACCTCATGTGTATTAAGTTTTCTTGCTTCACGTTATTTTTATTTATTTTACTATTTATGGATATGAATAAGTTAACTTTCTACCTTCATATCGTAAAGTAATGAAACTACTAATAATAGTTATTGTTCAACTACTATTGTTCAACAAATGTTCAATAGAACATTGAGTGTATTGCCATTCTATACAATCATTTACTGTTGTCTGCATTTTTTTTTGTCAATTCTATGTATTCTTTCCAGATTACATTAAGTTATAAATTCATTTAACAAATCATAAACTACTCGAAACAGGAATGGAAGAAAATAGAGATAATCTGTCTGTCCAAGAAAGAACTTCTGACAGAAATTTGTGTCGCCGTACTAGATATGCACAGATGTCACCAGAGAGAAAGGAATTATTTTTATCCCAGCTAAGAGAAAAAAGGGCTGAATCGAAAAGACAAAAACTCCTTCATCAATCAAATAGTACTGGCGCTCTTACAATCATCACTTCTTCGTTATCTCCTCAACAAGGTGAGCTAACCATATTCTTATCTTCCTTCTGTGAAATGTGTCTTCTGAATATCTATAGCTATAGTTAGACGCTTCAGCTCACCTACTCTTACTACAATTATTTTCCTCATTTTGTAGTTGAAGCTTCCAAAGCTACAAACCTACCAGTTACTTCAACTAGAAGAGAACGTATAGTTAATTGCTTATCTACCTTCGAAGTAGGTTAGTTCAAAAATAGTACTTCAACTATTTTGACTATATTGATTTTTCATAATTGGCTAGCTATCTTTAAATATTGTTATTCCTCATACTAGGATCAACATCGACTGCATCTCATACTGCAGGTAAATTACGTTCAAGATGTACTACAAATAGAGGTATGCTTCTTTCTACCAAAGTAATAAAAATACATGCATTGTCGTGCCTTTATATAACAAATTATTGCTTTTTACCATGCACAGGTAGAAATAAGTTACAAGTCAATCTACAAAATTATAATTTATTGCCACAAGATTACTTATTTTTAAAGAAAGTTCCAAATTGCAAATTTTGTGCAGCAAAAAGGTTTCAATATGAATCACCAGGTTTTTGTTGTGATAATGGATCAATTAGACTAATTTCTCATAACTTGCCTACTGAGTTGCGAAATTTGTTCTTGGGTGACTCTAAAGAATCTCAACATTTTCGCACTTACAGTAGAGCCTACAATAACATGTTTGCATTCACTTCACTTGGAGTACATTATGATAGACAATTAGCAAAGAGAAATCATGGCATCTATACATTTAAAGTCCAAGGACAAATGTATCACTTCATTGATGATTTGATACCCTCAGCAGGAAAAGGAAAAAATTTACAGTTATATTTCTATGATAACGAAAATGAGCTAACAAATCAAATGACGTTCTCAGATAATCTTAATGAGCTGATTGTTACAAATCTCATGGATACACTAAAAGTTAATCCTTATTCTACTTTTCTAAAATCGTTAACAGTTGTTTCAAATTTATATATATATAAGCCAACAACCCGAGTACGAACACAACTCTAAAATGTTGTTCCAATAGCATTAAACATTGTACTACACCATTTGAGCCATATTCCCTAGAAAATAAACACCTGTACTACATGTGTCTACCTCCTCTAATTTTCAATAATTTTACTTTGGTTCTTTTTCTACTTTTTCTATTTTTCATTTTCCTCTTTCTCACTCTTGGCGGAGAAGGACAAGAAGAGACTTAGAAATGGAGGTATTACATTTTTGGAGAGGAAGAGCTTGATGGAAAATCAGAGGAGAGTGATTCGAGTCCGAGCTGATGCATCGATTTGGTGATGAAATTTCATATTTGACTAGGGAAATTCAAGGTAATTTTTCATTCTAATCGTTTTTTCGCCGAAGGGGGCTTCGATGAACTCCTTTACCATAAACTGGCTCTATCCATGATTGTTTCTGATTTTATGTTTTATATGCAGTATAGTTATATATTCTTGCTTGTGATTCTGTTTGGTATTTACATTCTACTGTCTTTCATTATACATTTTATAGTTGCTGAAATTTGGGATTCTCACACTAATTATCACTGATTTTGTGTTTTATATGCATCTCATTTATATATTCTTGCTCGTGATTGTTCTTTTGCTCGATTGGTGTTTACCTTTATTGTCTTCATTATGCATTTTGTAGTTGCTGAGATTTGGGATTCCCACATTAATTGCTACTGCTTTTGTGTTTTATATCCAATTCAGTTATATTTTCGGCAAATACATATTGTACCAAAAGTACTGTAAATGGTACATTATACTGGTCTCATCTGTGATAAATATTTGACCTATATTATTAACACGTGTATTGCTTTTTTATGTTTTAAAGAAACACACGTCCTACTTACTATCTCTGTTCGTCTTCCTCATTGGAACATTAACAAAAACCTACACGGTCTCTTTCATTCCCTCTTTCTTTTCCACTTTTATTTCCTTTCAATTTCTATTTATTAATAAAATTGATTTCATGTTTATACATGTTTTTGATGAGTTAAGCATAAGGATTTCAACATTAATGTCTTCAGCATTGAACACATTTACTTTAGGAAAATCTACCAAGTATAGGAGAACTCACTACACTGTTGACTGCCATTAGAAGCCTTTTCAATGTGAGGACTCACTATACTAAGTATAATTGAAGAAGTAGAATGTATATGTCTAATTTGTTCAATTTTATACAAGTTTAAGTGTCTACTTGTGCACAACTAAAATTGAAGGGCATAAATATCAGCTGAGGCCAAGTTAAAGGGCATATTTTTGTATTATGCCTATTTACATTGTTTTCTTGAAAGCTACATATAATGAGTTCTTCCATATCTTGGTCATTTGATTTATTAGAATACCTTACATGTAGATGATTAGTAATTGTGATTTTACGAACATCCAACATGATGACATTTATATAAAGAAACTAGCACAATGGTTAACGGTTATAAATACCAACTTGAATTTCTTGATTTTCAATCCTCCTTGATCTTACATTGGACTCCATAATTACATAGTTGAGCATGATCTAGCTAAGGATGATTGCGGATGAGCCTTAAAAGGTTGAATTGCTAATTATGAAAGTTGGAGTCTCATAATCTCTTTGGGAATTAAGAGTTATCTAATGGCCTTTTCATTGTAATTGAAAAGGTAGAATGGATGTGCAAGATGATAGCAGTCAAATAAATTATTCACAGTAGTGTATGTTATCATGTGCTTTGAGTCTTAAGTTGTTAGATTTAGACTCTTTTTGGTGCTTCTGCTTTGTCTTTTGTGATTTCTCGACCATGTAATTATATCTTTTAGTGTTTGAAGTCTGCTATATAACATAGCAGGTTAATCTTACACTGAAGAAAGTTTAACTGTTTCATTCTCAGAAGTTCATCACCATATGTATTGCAGATATATTTAATTTCCTAATTCTTTAAGTTTGTAATTATAAGTGAAGTGGGATTATATAAAATATCTTTATTATATATATGTTGCTATGATTCAATCAATGACATTTATAACGTAATTAGCCTATTTTAGTTTATTTTTAGTCCTTATTTAGAAATGAAAGTTGGGTGTAGGAACATAGCTATTAAAATTTGTACTATTTGTTGCATTTCAAGTACCTTTTGGTGCCATCTGATGATTCACTCTATTCATGACACATGTACAAGTATAACGCATGTCTTCCCTTTGATTACTCAGAATTCACTTTGCCTTAATTTCATCACCATGGCTGCGGAGCTTTCTTTTGGAGTTCACCGACGTCTCTTGTGTTTACAACCTTCTTTTTTCTCAACTGTGAGTTTTCAACTATTCTTTCCCTGTTAACAAACATTAGCTTTGCTAGGTCTATTAGTTCTTCTACATTCAGAAAGTTTTTTCCTGTGGATGCATGTTTTGAATTTATACTCTTTATTTTCTTTTTCCCCTAAATTTGAACATTATATTGCTACAAACTATTTGTGTTCTATTCTATTCTTCACACAACTTAACAATCTCTCCGAACCTATTTGAAGCTCTAAGATTGTAGGTATGGGAAAAGTAAGTAAAATTGGAAAGATAAATAACTTGCCAGCATTTAACGACTTCATTACAATTCATTTAACTCGAATAGTATGAATTACACTCTTTTTAAATCTTATTGTTTGAGATATTTGATGCACAAACTGTTTGTTGTTGTGCCAGAAACAACTATATCACATGTAGTGTTTTTTTTTTGCCTTTTCACTGATGTTATTTTACAGTATACTCATCTGTCATTATGTACATTATTTATTATAATGGATAGTATTGATAAAAAATTTATTTATGGGACATGTGTATTTTTGTTAGAAAAATATTGCCTCATTTTCGCACTCCTTATTTTGAAAAATATGAAATTTATAGGTATCTACTTTTTTTTGGAGGGGGATTATTCCAATGGACATTGGGTGCTCTTTTCAATGGGTGCAGGGTGTTAGGTATCATGGTCTTATTTAGGAATTTTCTTGAAGAAACACATTGCAAAGGTTGACCCAAATGACGAGTTGTTTAAAAATAATTGCAAGGAAAGTACGATGTTAAATAAAGTGAGACTTGATGTATTGGTTTATCATCTAGGACTCTTTTGATATCTTGTTTAGTGCAGCTTTTGTTGACTGTCCTTGTTGATTGTGTACGTGTTTTGTTCTTAACAATAACTTGATGCGGGTACAACGGCATTTTACAGTGGTTGTTAAAGAGTAAAAAGGATTTTTATGCTGATTTTGAGTGTTTTTGAACGCCTCAATTTGTTAACTTACAGGTAAAGCAATGTGTCGTCTTATTTTCAGTTTTTTTTATAAAAGAAGGGGTTATACCTGATGATGCACTTGACTCTCTAATTCTTACAGAGTCTAATAAAGAAATTTTGGTATTGTAATTTATCTCTTGATTCATATTATTAGTATGATTATTGCAGTTAGTAAAATAGTAGTTTTCATATCGTCTTGCTTTTATTATTTTGTTTTATAAGCCTTACATTTCCCTCTTTATCTGAATATTCTGCCATGTTGATCCCGACTCCTGTGTCTGAAAGAGGCCTTCGAGCCTTACATGTTTAATTTTTTCAAAAAAAAAAAGAATCATGAGTCTGAAATAGTACTAGATCTATATTACACACTAATGCAACTAATAACATGTAAAGCTGAGGGATGGGTTAGAGCATGATTTTGTGACAATTTAAGGTAGTTAGTTGTACTATTGAACTTGGTAATTGGTTAGAATAATGCTTAGTTTGTATTTGATGTTAAACTTTGGCCCTTTGAATGAAGATGCATTTGTCCCAATCCCCCAATTCAGATTGGAACTAGTAACATGAGAATTTTAAGTCCTTTGCTCACTCTTTCATGGTTGACACCTGTTAACAAGCATGGAGCTTCTGCTCATTCCCATTTTGTTTTCTTAAATTACTCTTATTCTTATTTATCTATCTCTCTCTCTCTCATACATAAAAAAAAAACAATTTTCCCCTTTTGTGGGCCTCTAAATTTCATCAATTTCTTCATCTGCTGAACATTTTTAGAGTTGCTATATTTTTCTATCTTGGTGTGGTCCCTCAATTTATTGTTTCCCCATTTAAGTTGGTTTATCTTGAGAAAAAGTTTAATAGGTGAAATTATCAATTTTTCAGGAAGGAGGTTATATGCATTGATTGCAATCAAATTTGTTTGTTTTGTTGTTAGTCTTTATATTAAATTGCTTATTTTAAGGACGACAAAGTATTCTTACAACTAAAAAGGGAAAATGAAGGGTTGAACTGGGCTATTTTGAGGAGAACTAATATGATGATATCATGGATCTTTGGGAGCTTTCAGGTTCTCGAGCATGTTTACTGCAATTATAATTTGGCAATGGTGCCAACTCGATGTTTATAATCTTGAGCTATAAGTTGTGAAATTCAGATATTATTTAGCAGTATTAATCACTAACTTAAGCTGTGAAAAACAAAGCCAGAGGAATAATCACTAAACTCCAATTTTGGTAATCAGCACTTGATGGAGTTGCATATTGATCATCATAGATCCGACTTCCTATAAACCTTGCAAAGTGCTCTACTATCTTTTGATTCTATATATGAATGTTCCTTTGAATGTATCATTCAACTATTTTTTGTAATGTAGGAATTCTTTAACCACTTGATTTTACCGGTATGCTACTATCAAAACAAATTATGCGTGACAACATGTGGAGGTAGCTTCTCCTCTTATCATTTTGAGAAATCTAGATAAGTATGTTCTGGTCTATTTGATTACTGAGAAGCTGTACTTCAAATGTTGTCGCTGCTCTTCTTTTTGAAAATGTATGTCCATGACCATGATAAGGGTGTGAAGAACTTAGCATCTGTTTATCCAAACAAATAATTTTATGTAGTTCCTTTTACTGGAATCTATAATGCCATGTAAATGTGATTCTTCCAAAAAAATGCTCAATGTTTTTTTAGAAACGTAGGATCTAATCGAATGTTTCTTTGTTACTCAATGTACCTATCAGAAAGAAAATATCACACATTTTGACAAAGGAAGAGACTCAGTTAGAGAATACATTGTCTTATTTGTCATTGTTCAGGAGAATACATAACAAGAATGGTACTCTACTTTTAGGAAAATTTTGCTGGATAGATTTAAAAAATTCTACCTAAAATAATAAAATGAAGGAACTGATTGCTTCCATATCATTAACATTCTTACATATTTGTAATTTTTTTGCACTTATAATGGCTTAGCTTCTTCAATTACTTGTCAAATATGTTTTTTTTTTTTGGTTTCCCACCCGGTGTCCGGAGCCTACATTAGAGCTCCGACTAAATTTGGATCGCGCAATGAGGTTCAGTTAAAGAGGGTGAATTCACTCTTAATTCTAAATTTTCAGGTATGAAGTTTCACACTCCGTCATTCCCTCCTTCAAGTAGACAATGGAGAGAGGTAGAAGGCATAAAAGTGTCAACAGAAATGGTTACGGCAAGGCTGGGCTTAATTCATTAGATATGATTTGGATTTTTTGGTTGGCATAAAATCAGCAGTGATATCATTACTTCTATTTACTCAACTGGATTCTTATCAAGTAAAATGAGTGATGGTATGTATAATTCAGAACATAAAACATGCTCTCTTGCAAGCACCAAATCTACATTCACTGAAGTCATGCACACAATTAAATGAGCAAATGGATAAGCAATTGACTGTGAAAGTTGGTTTGCTATGTTATGTTGTATGGTTTTTATACAACGTCGTTGGATTGTGCAAGAAAGACTGATGTACCAGCTTTCTAGAGAGAGAAGTCTGGGTTGATCTAGCTAAGAAGCTCGAGGAATTTGGAAGACCTATGTAGTAAAAGTTGCTGGGAAGCACAACAAGACACTACTATTTGGCTTGTACCACTTGTGCATAATTTATTTAAAAAGATTTGTATGTCTTTCCCTAACATTTCACATATAACAAGTCCACTCGCGTCAATTATACCAATCATATAAGCTTATTTAGAAGTGCCACTTCTAAAGGACTAACATAGCTTAAAATAAGAGTAATTTCCCTGGATAGTCACCCATGTTTGGGAAATTACCTAGGAATATCACTTATATTTGTTTTAGGACCATAATATCACCCAACTTTACCTCTTTTCCTCAAAATATACTTACACAAAAAAAACATTATATCTCTCCTAATAGAATGCCATGTCACATTATTCCTTTTTTATTATTAACATTTTTTTAATTCATTTTTTATTATTAACATTTTTTATTATTCTTTAAAAACATTATATCCTTTATAGTTTGACAATATGGTTACCTTATTACTCTAATGAATTAAAATATCAATAAAAAGGGAGTCATCAAAAAAAAAAATTAACCAAAAGGGCAAAATCCCTCCTGACAGATCGATTTTCTTCTGACAAAAAATTGACGTCGTTCCGTTAAAAGAAATAAAAATCGCTGCATTTGGCAGCGATTTTCTAAAAAAAAAATCATTATTTCTTTAAAATCACTGCTATAGTAGCGTTTTTATAAAAAAAATAAGTTTTTTACAAGTTTTTTAAAGAAAAAATCGATGCCGAAGCAGCGATTTTCAGTTTTAATTTTTTTTTAATTTTCATTTAAATCGCTGAAAGGGTAAAGATTTAAAAAAAGAAAAAGCTTTTTATGAAAATCGCTGGCTTCAGTTTTAATTTTTATTAAATTCTTTGCAAGGGTAGGATTTTTAAAAAAAAAAAATAATTTCTTAAACAAAATCGCTGCTATTTTAATTTTTTATTATATAAAAACGCTGTTATAGCAGCGATTTTAAAGAAAAAAATAATTTTTTTGTAGAAAAATCGGCAGCGATTTTTATTTCTTTTAGCGGAGCGGCGTCAATTTTTGTCAGAACAAAATCGCTCCATCAAGAGCAATTTTTGCCCTTTTGGTTAATTTTTTTTGTATGTGCCGTTTTTGTTTTTTAAAGAAAAAAGTTGCACTTTTGGCTCTGGACTCAACAAAAAGGTGCCATTGCCCATTCGTGCCCATATAAAAACATTATCTCGCTTGAAAAATCGAAGGAAGCCACATATTTTTTTTGAAGAATCGAAGGAGCTCATATATTTGCCGCCTAATCCCCTAGAACTAGGGTAGAAATTTTTGGGCTATGTAATTTTTTTTACTAGGTAATATGGGTTGTCTAAATTTTTTAAAAAATGTATAATGAAAAGGAATAATGTGACATGACATTCTATTAGGAGAGATATAATGTTTTTTTTGTGCAAGTATATTTTGAGGAAAAGAGATAAAATTGGGTGATATTGTGGTCCTAAAACAAACATAAGTGATATTCCAAGGTAATTTCCCAAACATGGGTGACTATCTAGGGAAATTACTCCTTAAAATAATTGTACCTTGTGCTGAAAATGTGATGACACAAATAAGGACATTTTGGTATCTGAAGATTACTTTTGGTGAATTCATTGTAATAGAGACATCTGTCCTCTATTTGGTGACACGTGTGTTGTCTTTTTATACTTAGCCAGCCAGATATTTTATTACTCATTATTACTCATATTTAGATGTACTATCTACAATTTGACTTTTCTAAGCTTTTGCCTTCTCTCACACACAAACACGTGTATTCCACTTAAAGTACAATGTTTTGTTTCTTGAAACAAAAGGACTAACACGGTATTAGTTAATTGTACATTGTATTGTATATTGTATATTATATAAGTCAAAAACAAAGGACTAACACGGCATTAGTTAATTGCATGTACAAGAGGCTTTAATAATCATACTTTATAGACAACAAGTTTACAAAGCTACGTGTAGATACTTTGAAAGAGGTGTCTTGCCATTACTCCTCCACACCTCAACCAAATTTCCTCTGAAGTCAGTCTTCTTTGCCGTTACAGCTCTCTGTAAATTCACTAGAGGCAAATTTGGTTAAACACATCAGAAGTCATGGTTAGTCCTACTACTTTCTCTATTTTTGTCAAATTTTGCTTCATTCGTCTTTCTCCTTTATTTGAATCGTCTCATTGAAGCTTCTTCATTGGGCTTTTCTGGATAGGTGTTCTATTTTAGTTTTGCATGTGTTTGAACCAGAAATTTCACGATATTGCTGAAATGTTCCAACTAATTAGCGTATTATTTCTTAGTTTTTTAGGTTTGGATCTAATTTATGGATGCCTTTTTTATTTTAGTATTTTATTTCTTAGTCTATCTTTAAAAATATTTGGGACACTTTCTTAGATGATGTATTTCTCTCCAATTCGACCTTTTTTCTCGTATGTTGGTTCTTAATTTTCTCAGTGGTAAGCACTCCAATTCAACGTTTTTCTAATATGTTTGTAATTTCTTGTGTTTTATGAAATTTACTGTCCACAATGTGTTTGATGAAAGTCTCAAATGAACTTATCATGAAGCACTTACACAAAGCACCAGAATTTAACAATTGAATCAGAAGACTAAGTCAACGAGTTGTATTTTAATAATCTTTGGAATTGTAGCTATTTGATTCTTCTTTCAACCGATGTTGCTCGGACTCTTCAAAAATATTTAAAGATGCATGTCAGATACTTCAAAAACAATGCTTTTGTGGAGGATCCGACATGAGTGCCGTAACATTTTTAGAGAGTCAGAGCAACACAACTTTCTTCATTTAGCAAACTACTCTCTTTGCAACTGTTCAATATTATTTCTAAATATTTGCTACACTTCAAACCGTTAAAAGGTTAGATTTGTCATTTTCTCCTAACAAATTTTCTGCTTCTTTTTTTTCAGGGGAGAGGAAAACAACCATCTCTGATGTTTCATTAAGTTTAAAGGTTAGTGTCTAATGACTAAGAAAAGTGTGTTTAACTACTTTGCTCATTATTAATCAACATTGCTTTTCATATTCCCAACTTCACTATCAGTGCTGCATGTTGCCTATCTACCAATGTTTTTGTCAAAATGTCAACTGACTAACTAATTCAAATATATTTTGTCATTTTTCTTCATAACATATATTATTTGGTGTCCTATTAAGTATTACCCCACCCCCTTTTCTCTCTATCTTCTCCTTCATACAAATTTATCTCAATGAATACAATAGGATTTATGGCTACACAAACTGTTGAGAACAGTTCTGGATCTGGTCCAAGGCGAACTGCAGTAGGAGATTTATTAAAACCATTACAGTAGAGTCGTTTCATGGGCAGGGGGCTAAGCACAATTCTTTGAATCAAAGGTTGAATGGTCCTCGACATGTATATTCTGATTTTAGTTATGTTTTTATTTTCTTTGCTTCTTAAGAAGTTTGCTCTGTGATGAGGTACCTACTTCATTTCTTTCTTTCTTTTTTGGTATTTTTTCACCTAAGTTCTTTGGTGATGATGTGACATTGAAGTAAACGAAGTAAAGTTGCGCACCCAAAGTGTTTGATCATATGCCTGAGTCAACTGAATAATTTCTTGTATTTTTTTCCCTTTTCTCATAGGTGTTCTTCAAAATTCCCATCTACAAGGTACAACATTTTCTTCTACTGAACTGTATTTGTGATCAATTTATGTGTGGTATTATCATTATGATTCTCCAATACTTATATATGTTTTTGCAGAAATTCCGATCCCCTAGAGCATAATAAGATGTGAAACCAAATGGTGTGACACTTATTCTCTTGATGATTTGGTGTACTTTGATTTGCATTGAATGTTAATAAAAGTATACTACCATTTTAGGTTCTTGAAAATTACTTCAATAATTATCGTAAAATTATAGAGATGCCCAGTGCATAAGGCACCAACTAGGACTTAGGAAATATGATCCTTCTCGAGTGTAATAACTACACCACATGTTGCAAGTCAACTTAATCAATTGAACTAAATGAACTTCTACACCTTGATGTTACTCTCATAAAAAATCTCGACTAATCTGGTTGTCAACCTTATGAGATATGCGCACTCAGAGTTTCTGAGTCTTCGCCTGGTAAGTTCTTTATTGCCCTTTTCCCCTTTCATGTGAGATTTTGATCTTAAAGTTATTTCATGCTCATATCTCTAGGATGTAGTTAAAGATTAGCAGAATAGTTTTCGAGATTTTCTATTTCGCTAATTCAGAAGAATGACAATGAGGGTCTGTTGTGTGTACTTATCTTATTTAGTCAAACTCTTAAACTGATACAGATAAATCAATAAAAGGACAAATTAAATGAGGTACATGGTGGTTGGACTTTGTTTACATAGAGCGAGTTCCACAGTTCCTTCCATTTTGAGAGCATGCTGAAAATCCTTGTAACTAATCGTATGATGTATATGGTTTTTTCCTTCTGTTTTATAATAATTATCCGTTCTTCTAACTGTCTAAAATTGTAGTCATCATAAGTTTCGTTATCCAACTAACTAATTGTCTGTTGTATAAGATTTTCCTCTCTCTTGATGAATATCTTTAGGACAAGATGTTTTATTTATGGATAAGATGCTTTATTTATTTGGCTTTTTTATATGTATGTATCTACAACAAAAAAAGTTTGCACAACCAAGTAATATTCTGCATTGCATTAGCATAACTTCATGTGTAGCTAATTTATACTTTTATTTTCTTTCCCTCCGGTTGAGATCAATTTTGCATGCTAATCATATCCTCAATGGAAAATATATAAGTTTATCTTTAGTATTGTATAAAAATAGTCTTGCTTCTTTAAAAATGTTGGTAGTCTACTTTTTAAGCAGCACTGGTTCATTTAACTTTTCTGAATACTCATACTTGCAGGTTCCCCATCTCAAGCAAGCAAGGTGAGTTAATCTTCTTCTGTCACTTTTCTTCTTTTTAATTTTTTTTTAAATCAGATTTTCAGGTGCTGTAGACATTATGAAACCCACAAACATATATTACCAGAGATCAAAATCAATAATTCATTTACGGGCATGCTGAAGCCCCCTCTTTCTACGGACGAGTTAGCCCATGACTGCATAATCAAGAAGAGTCAACCATACATAGGAGGAGGCAGCTAATTAATTGATGTCACTCTGTTAATTTCTTTTTTAGTTTGAGGTATGTTTCATTTTGTATTTTTAGTAGATTAGCTTCATCCAAAAATAATTATTTACTATATGACCAATTACACAAATATGATCACATTCTCACCCAACGCCAATTTTTTTTGGATCTTTCATTCAGCAACTTAAAATTAAGATTTAAGAAAAAATGTTTCTAGCATAGTAACCCCCTACATAGTGTAATGAGTGTAATGGTATTGTAACGACCATTTGAGCTAGAATTTCTCATGCTAATCTTATCCTTTTATTGCAAAGTTATCAGTTTATCCTTGGTGTTACATAAAAATAGCCTTTAGTAGCTCAAAAAGTTGGTGATCTACTTTTTTAGAAGCACTTGGATCATATAACTGTTCTAATTATTATACTTTCAGGTACTCCCATTTTAAGCCAAGGTAAATTTACCTTCTCTGACGCTTTCTTTTTATCAATTTTTCTGGTGTTGTAGACATAATGAAACCCACAAATAGAGGTAACAAGAGAACAAAATCAAGAATGTATTTACGGACATGATGAATCCTCTCTTCCTATGGTTGGGGTAACCCATGACCGTAAGATAAAAAAGAGCTAACCATACCTAAAAGGAGGCTACTAATTAATTGATACCACTGTATTATTTTTTTCAGTTCAAGATATATTTTATTCTGTCTTTTTCAATGCTCTCATGCAAGTAAATTTTACGCCTTAGGTGTTTCTGAGCTACAACCTCTAATTAATTTACATTTGTAGAATTTCCTTCTAGAGTGATAGACAATATACAAAAGTTCCCATCGCGTGAATTTTATGATTTCAAACGAGGGGATAGATGAAAAAGCTTGCATCAGTAATAGAAGATGTGTTTAGATCCCCAACATTGAAAGTGTATGTAATTATAACTAAGAGACTATGATGCACATAATATAATTTTTTAGATGTTGTCATAGTAGCCATGGTGTAATATTTTGAAGAGTAAATAAGCACACTTGATCTTTACTACATATTTAACTAAACAAAATAACATGGTGTAAACAAAATAACATGTTGGCCCGTTCTATGTATCCTTTTGTAAATTCATGATGAATTGAAAGCTAATTCCTAAGCAGTTTTAAATTATTGCTTTCTTTTAGCAGATAACTAAATGGGAGTTGACGTGACAACTTGACAAGATGACCCAGGAAGAAATAAGTTAGACATACATCATACAAGGCTTTCGTGAGATGAAAACTGTTCCAGTTAATGTACTGGAAAAGGTTAGGACAAGAGCGGAGAAATCAAGCATTGACACGTGAAAATCAGTATTTGTTTGCTCCATGTTGGGATTCAATTGCACGTTTCATACAGAGGTAATTTATGACAGCAGTGAGACAATATTTGAATATAATCACATTACTACTGACGGATGAACTTGAGAAAACTATATAATATATGTGATGCTTTCAAGAATGTATCCGCAACCAGATTCTTGGAGTCTCTTATATACTACTTGGCGGTTTATGATGCTTCATTTTGATAATACTATTGATCATGTCCCGCAGATTTCACAAAAGACATTATAATGTCTTTCTTGAAATAGGTACTTTTAAGTTGTTTATAATGAGAACTCTAATCCCTTCCCCTCCCCGTCCCGCCCCTCCCCGCCTGATTAGTTATAGAAGAAAGATGCAAAAGTTTGAGAATTTATTCCATTCTTTTGGAATCAAATTATCATTTCAAACTCTCTGTGATTTCTTTCTCTTTCAGGCTGGGAAGTATCATCTCCCTCTTCTGATGTGTTTTTTTCGTTCTCTTTGTTTTCATGCTTTCAATGTTGAATCTCTCTAATGTTTTTGCTGATTGTCTGTGATAGTGGTAGAAACACTTTTTGCCTCTTTTCAACTTTCAATGTTGCATCTGTATATTCCAATTTCTATATAGTAAAACAAAAATCAATACATATCACTCTAAATTTGTTAAGATATCAATGTCTATGTTTTAATATCATCTTCAATTTCACACAGAAGCTTGCTATAGGTTAGACCATCATACTTTTTGCTGGCACACTTCATCAATTAATGTTATGAAGGTGATGAAGTTAGTTATTCTATGACTTTCATTAAATAAAGAGTTGTTGGGACAAATTCAAAATATTTTGGATACAATACTGCATCAGCATATGTTATTTATTTAGTGATTTGAAAAAGTCGCTCAAGATTTAAGCAAGAAAGACAGTTTCCATTCTTCATTTATCACCGAGTCATCAAAGGTAGTTTGTTGCTTACATTTGATTACATCGCATGTTATATATATATCTCTTGCAATCGTCTAATAATTTTTTGTCTACTTCTCCAGGTGTCGTCACAAGGAATTAGTTCACTACAAGAAGTTTCAGGTTTCCAGAAATTTCTGATTCAAAAAGTTTATACCAAACCTCATTTCTTGCCTTCAGCACATATGTGGTAATTATTTTATCATCTGAAAGTGAACTATGATTGTCCAACAATAAATTATGATTGCCCTCCTAATCCTGAAGATTTTTTCAAGTAAAGTTTCGTGTTGTTCCTCTCCAAGTTACTTAACTTTCTTTCATTTTTGTTACCATCCTAATTTACTTGTATTACTGAAGATACCAATATATGTCTCTGTTCCTTCCTCTGTCCAAATTATTACTCCTGCTTTTATTTTTAAGTGCATCTTAACTTGCTCTAGATGAATTGACATTTTCCTATATATTCTACTGCATATTTAATTTATAGTATTGGAAGTTGCTCACGTAATCTGAGTAGATAATAGTTTCTTTTGAACCATTACTTTTTTTTGAAAGATTTATCATTTAGATTTATGGATGCGATAATATAAAAAATGAAATACAATCTATATACCTAAAGATGTGTATAACTTAAAAAACAAAATATTGTTGGTGTATATTTATGATGAATACACCTCTTTTGGCATTCTAGTTCAAGTACAAAAAAAAAAAGACAGTTGTGAAGTATGTATAATAAAAAATATAAATACAAATTAGTAGTAATATAAATTGATATTGAAAATACAATTTTGGTGAATACATAAAACATAGAATAAGTTGTATTCAAAGTAAATTGTATTTATATTTGGGATAAGGGTCTGAAAAATACCCCAACTTTGGTCGGATTTGCTGTTGCGATACTAAAACTTTCATGAGGACCCATTACTTCCCTAGACTATTTAATATCGTATTTTAAACATATATATTTGCCCATGTGGACATAAAAAATAATGCAAAATTCTAAATAGTAATGTGTCCACGTGGGAACATATATACCTTTAAAATACACTATTAAATAGTTCAGGGGGTAAAAAATACGGTATTAAATAGTCTAGGGAGGTAATAGGTCCTTATGAAAGTTTAGTATCGCAACAACAAATCTTACCAAAGTTGGGGTATTTTTTAGACCCTTATTCCTTTATATTTCAATATCCAGATTTGTTATATTATTATTATTTCACTGAAAATACTGTTTTGGTGAAAACATAAAGCATAGAATAAATTGTATTCAAACTAAATTGTATTTATATTTCAATATCTAGTTTTGTTATTTTATTAGTATTTCACTTTAAAATTGTAGTAACTATTTTTCTGGCTCAGTTTGTATTCCAAATATCATTATGTATTTTAATATCATTTTGTATTTCAAACGCAAAATGAATACAAATAAGTTTGTATTTCCCTTCTTATACTGTATTCGTCACAATTTTATATATTATGTTTTCATCAAAATTACTTTCACGAAATAAAATACAAAACTATGTCTTGCTAATACATTTATGATTAAAACTGTACAGAGTATTTAACTTAAAAATTGTAGAGAGTATTTTACTGGATTAGATTGTATTTCAATATCACAAATGTATTGCTTTAACCAAAATAAAATACAAAATATGTCTTACAAATACAATTATGATCAAGACCTGTATAATATAGACATAAATATACTGTAATTTGTTAATTTATAACTTGTATTTTGAGTTAGCAGTTTAATTACAAAAAGATATCTAAACATATACCACAAAACTTCAAAACTTCAAAACATTAAAATTATGAAAAAAAAAGTTCAAGACTTTTTACAGTAATAAAATCAGAACTTCATTGAAACTTCAGAAGGGTTCATTACTTTTCAAAATAACATGATCCAAAAACTAATGTCTATTAATTAAAAGGATTGACAATACAAAAAAATAGACAATGACTAATCTATTTGAATTGTATCACAATTCTCAAAGGCTACGTTAATCCTGCTATGTCGCGGAGGTGCTTCATTGTCACTTATAGCTCCGGCATCATTCTTTGTTGGCCATAATTTTGGGTAATACACAAATCAAATGAGGAAAATTCACCAAAAGTTTAAATATTATTTGGTATACCTTTAATAATTCTAATTGATTCAGACATTGTAGAATGACATATGCTTTCCCCAAATCTAAAATCTTAAAAGCAAATTTCGAAATTATCAAATATAAATGTATTAAAAATCAAACAAATAAACATATGAATTTGTAGATTCTAATAAATCTAAAATATTAAAACGAAATCACAAAAAAATTGAAATTTTTTATTTAAAAGACTAAAAATCTGAAATACATAAATATTAGATGAATATTTAAACAAACTCGCATAAAAATTGAAAAAAATGACGGAAAATCCGTAATATATACAATCTAAATATACACCATAATCGGTGATTTTGAAAACAAATCAAAAGAAATCTACATAAATAAATGAAATTACCTTTACCAATCGAGAAATTTCTTGAATTAATATAGAGATTTTGTTTACCAACCGAGAAATTCCTTGAATTAATATAGAGATTTTGTTGAAGAATCAATGAGAACTTTGAATAATTTGTGTTTCTAGGTTATCAGAAAAATATGAAGAAAGAGAAACTGGGAACGTGAAAGGTGGGAAAAATAAATTCTTTAACTGAGAAACGTGAAAGGTGGGAAAAGTGTAAGATGTGGAAAGAATGTTAATGGATAGTTTTGTATTTGTTTTATTTTTATTTTTAATCGGTTATTGGTTAGAATTTGGTCCAATGATGGACTCTTTTGATAAATAAAATGAAATATAAATAATAAAACGTGGATACAAATTATTTTTGAAAATATTGACATTCTGACATTTTAAATAAATATTTTCAAGTGCAATTGTTTTGACTAATTATGTTAGATATTATGACTAGATAGCTAATTTTCCCTTAATTGAATAATAGCTAAATGAGCCATCTGAAAATTTAAAATAGGCCTAAAATGTAGACTCATTTGACCAAGACCCAAAAATTCAAAAGAAGAACTAGCCCTCTAACCTATCTTGAAGATCAAACAAAACAAATTGAACAAAAAATAAAAATAAATTCAAAATAAACTTCAAACAAAAGTTCAACATGATAAAACTTTAAAGAACACTAACAAAAACAATACATAATCCAGCACCAAAACGACTTATATGGTTAAAAGGTTGTGATAGTGGCGGATTCAGATAGAGAATGAGAGGAGAAAAAGATTGACATAAATTTTTGGGTGAATGGGGGTCGCCGAAAAACTTCACCAGAATTTTTTTTGACATAAAATTTACATCAAAAGATAGCCCTTGAAGAGCTCTACACATTTATTTAAATGGTATAGGATGGGAATGACCGAAACTTCACAAATCTAAAGAAAAAAGTGATGACTTGTGTTCGATTTTTCTTAGATCTTTGAAGTTTGGCTATGGATAAAGATGAATGGTTTGTGGATTTGTGTAGAGGAGGGTGAAAGAAGAAATGGTAAAATTTGGAGAAATTTTCCGACCATGCGGTGGTGGCCGGCGGTGGCAGTGGCAGCGGCCAGTCGGCGGTGATGGTGGTAGGTGGAAGAAAGGGGAGAAGAAAAAATAAAAAAAAATAGGGCCAAAATTCTGATTTTTAAAGTCTTTTGTATTTTTTGGTAGGGTCACATAAGAACCCTTGGATCAAAATGTTATGAATGATTGAGATTCAATCTTAACCATTGCTATTGGACCGAGTCAAAATTGATTCGGGCTATTAGAATTGGGTCTAAATCAACCCAATTCAATCAAAATTGGGTCATTTGGGCCAATTAAAAAAACAATACAAACAAAGACAAACAAACCAAAATACAAAATACAAAATAAAATATAAGAAAAGACCTTACTATATATTGCAGGAGTAAATTAATCACGTCAAAAATTAGGTGTTCACAGCATGCCTCTCTTTGTTTGGAAATATGAAGAGTTTTCAAGCAAAGAAAGTGAACAAAGTGACAAATTTTTTATTGTTTCAAACTCCGTTGAATCCATTTTAAAAAAAGATGACCGGACCTCGCTTTGGTTGCCTACATATCCTTGATTAAAAGGAAATCATGTCAGTGTAGTTCAAGAAAATTTGATAGCCGAAACTATTAGACATTGTGGTCAAAAGATTGCTTCTTATTGCTTGTCATCATCTAATGTCTATAGTTACATAAAAGAAATGAGCTAGAGAACTCTGCTTCTTTACAATATAGTAGTTACAAGATCCCTAATTGATATGTTTTCTTAGGGTCTTTTCTTGATCTTCGGCTTTATCTCTGAGACTGATCTTGATGCTCTTTTGGTGGCTTGTGGATCATTCTCAAGTGCATGTTTTGACTTGAGTTGACGATTGAAACTCAAAACTCAAGAACACAAAATGAAGAATCCAAATCTGATGTGTTTCTTTTAGGAGAGAAGAAAAAAAAGGAGAATCTTGAACTAGGACGTAATCCTAGAAAGAAAAGGAGAAATGAAGTGTATTGCCCTAAGATGTCCAAATGAGACGTATTGTCTTTGCGGTTTGACTTAAGATTGGGCGTATCACCCAAAATATGAATACGATGCATATTGCACATGAATACTGGAGCGTATTGCTCAGGATATGCATATGGTGCATATTGCACATGAGTGAAATATCGATGCGTATTGCATGGGATTTAGATTGATGTGACTTACACATGAAAGAAAGACTGGTGTAATTTGCATATGAATAAAGGACATGTGCGTTTTGCACAGAATTCAGACTGGTGCGTATTACACATAAAAGAAAGACTGGTGTGTTTTGCACATGAATATTGGGCGGGTGCGTATTACACGGAATTCAGACTTGTGCGTATTGCACATAAAAGAAAGACTGGTGCATTTGCACATGAATAAAGGACGGGTGCGTATTACACGGAATTCAGACTGATGCGTATTGCACATGAAAGAAAGACGCTACATATTGCACAGAATTCAGACTAGTGCGTATTGCCTGGAATTCAGGGTAATGTGTGTTGCACCTGAATGAAAGATTGATGTGTATTGCCCGAAGCTGTTGAATTGAGAGGCAAGAATGCAAATAACATGAGATGAAACAACAAACATGTGAGGACTTTGGAGAACTTCTTTTTTGTGGTGTTTCATTTTTGACTTGTAATCCTACATTTTCCTTTGTTCCTGTGCTAAGCAAAAGAAAGAGAAAATTGTTAGTTTAAAATGGTGATTGGTTCGTGACCTTGATGTTCTAATGACTTGACCATACTCTGGACCAATTTCTTATTCCAAACCCTTGGCTGAACAACCCTTTGAAACTTCCTTTTTGTCAATTCAGGGCTTGATCTTCTTGGTTCTACCAAATATCATGGTGCGATTGATTTCCCAAAGAATGAATTTTCCTTTGAATATCTGAGGTATTTTTAGTCATTGCTCGATGGCATGCCAACTTAGATACACAAGCTTCACTTTTGGGAAACCGCAGTAAGCTTTGTAATCTTTTACTTTGTTTTGCTAAGAGATTATACCGAAAAGACTAGAAAAATATCAGACTTAAGAGTGTGAAAATCGGATCAAGAAAGACTTATACTTAACGAGGAAAATCCCTTTGAATAAAATGAGAAATGAAACTTATCTGGAGGCATATGTCGACTTTGAGTGAACCATGACATGCACTTTGGACTTGACCCCCGATCCGTTTGAGTTGTCTAGTTCCTAAAATCTGAACCATTATCAATTTAAATTGATCTTTGTATCCTAGAAACACTTCATGCAGATGTGTCGAGAAATGATACCCTTTGCAGAATTCTTCCACTCAGTCATTTTCATGATGTTCTCTTCTTTTATCTCAAGGTGCCCACAAGGGTTTTTCACCGATAAGATCTTCTCTCTTGTAGCCTTATGGTGCCTACAAAGGTTTTCACCGATGAGACTCTCTCTTTAGTTTTTTTTTAACTTATGGTGCCCACAAGGGTTTTCACTCACAAGTTTTTTTTCCGACTCAATAATATTGTCTCCGATGATCAATTGTCTGTGCAAGACACATTGAATCTATCATTGTTACAGTTGGTCCAAATATCGGTTGCTAAAATAGAATCATAAACTGAATTACAATTTTGACATTATTCTATCAAAATTTTAAAAAAATGCCCCAGTACATAAATATTTATTTATTTATTTTTTGGTATGACTGAACCCCAAAGGGTTGTCTATGTATCCTTTTGGAATCAGGTCAAATGTAGTTCAAAATTTCAAAGAGAGAATTTTTTTTGATTTTATTTTTGAACGAGGAGCCCTTTTCTTCCCAACCATAAATTTGTCAGAGCATCTTAGAACACATTAGATATAGTATTTTTTAACCGCGTCCGCATTACCAATCATGCCTCTGATTTTTCCTCCACATCAGTAAGGTGCAAGACTCCTTTGGACAACACTTCCTTGATAAGATATGGACCTTGCCAATTTAGGGCAAACTTTCCCTTGGCTTCTTCTTGGTGCGGGAGAATGCGCTTTAAGACCAGTTGACCTACTTCAAAATGTCTTGGGTGCACCTTTCTGTTGTATGCACGAGTCATCCTTTGCTGATAAAGCTAACCAAAACAGACGGACGCCAATCGTCTCTCATCTATTAATGTGAGCTGCTCTAGTCGGGTTTTGATCCATTCAGATCCTCAATTTCAGCCTCGACAATAATTCAAAGAGATGAAATTTTGACTTCCACGGGTATCACAGTCTTAGTCTCATACACCAGCAAATAAGGAGTTGCACCAATCGAAGTGCGCATTGTTGTGTTATATCCCAAAAGTGCAAAATGCAGCTTCTCATGCCATTGTTTGGTGCCTTGAACCATCCTCCTGAGAATCTTTTTGATATTCATTTTGGAAGCCTCCACAGCTCCATTGGCTTTTGGTCGGTATGGAGTAGAATTGTGATGCACAATTTTGAATTGCTCATATACCTCCTTCATCAAATTTCTATTAAGGTTTGCAGCATTATCTGTGATGATAGTTCTTGGGATACCAAAACGGCAAATGATATTTGAATGCACAAAATCCACAACCACCTTCTTAGTGACTGCCTTGAAAGTGATTGCATCCACACATTTGGTAAAGTAATCAATTGCGACCAAAATGAATTGATGTCCATTAGAAGCTTTTGGCTCAATTGGTCCGATGACATCTATTCCCCATGCAACAAAGGGCCAAGGAGCGGCCATGGGTTTAACTCTGAAGGAGGTGAATGAATTAGGTGACCGTGAATTTGGCACTGATGACATTTTTTCACAAAGCGAAAACAATCATGTTCCATGGTGAGCCAATAATATCCAGCTTGAAGTATCTTTTTTGCAAGGGCATATCCATTCATGTGTGGTCCACATACCCCAACATGTATTTCATTCATGATCTTCTCGGTTTCTTCAGCATCCACACATCTCAACAAGTTCAGATCCGGGTTTCGTTTATATAAAACTTCCCAACCAAGGGTTGGGGTCGAGTCCCAAGGGAGCGGGCTTGAGAATTAATAGAAAAATAAAATTTAGTTCTAATTAGTCATAGCTAAAAACATTATCAAATATAAACATGTTAAATCTAAGGGGTGACGCAAGTGTCAATTTGCAATGGGGGTTTGTGACAAGTAAGCAAAAAAAACAAAAATACAAAGAGTACTAATCAAAGAGAGAGAATTCTTGGGATGTGATAGGAATACGAGTTAGAATAGACTATTGGGTACATGCTTTTGATAGTAAATCCATTGAGTATTTGTGACTAGTCTAGACTATAGTGGGAGTAAATTTTCTCTCCAGCAACTTACCCCGAATCAAATGGGTTCCTCTCGGATGCCCACTTGCCGCATGAAAAACAACCTTCGTCTTAGCCCACTCACTCTCTCAAGCTGAGTGTGTGGGAGAAGGACTAGGGTTCACTCTCTCGAGCTGAACCTCATGTCGACCCACTCCCACCGGCCATCAATTTAGTAGTCTTAGTTTTACGACCTCTCTCTCGAGCAAGTCGAAAACACAAAGGTGAAATCGTATTTGTAACTACAATTTCATTAAGTTCCACCACAACTACTAAATGAAATCACATTTACACAACAATAAACCATCAACAAGCAAGACCCAACATATAATCTAACCCATATTCACAAAATCACTCCCCAAGAATTGGAGTTTTAGTTACACATGTAAAAGAGATAGAAATTTATACCAATATGAGTTTGCATTCAAATGGGTATGAAGATTTAAGTCTTAAAACAAGCAAAGAGTGAAGAATCCACAAGATCCAAGTCCAAATTCTTGGAGTTGAAACCCTTTGAATCTTTAAGTTCTTCAAAACCCTCTCCAAACTTAGAACTCAAAAATCTATGTTAAAAATTATATATTAAAAATCTGCTATTAAGCTACAACTCTGAACGAGTATTTATAGTTTTCAAAAATCTGTGCTACAGCGGATCATTCGACGTCGTTAGTCGAGATCACCGATCAACACGGCGATCCGCCTTTGGTAGGTTTCATCGCCGTCTTGCTCTTCCTTTAGCTTCGTCGTGTTTTGGATCATTGGGCGACATAGTACTGCTTCGCGGAACTACTCGGCAACATGACGACTGCTCCTTTTCACCGCCGATTTGATCCTTTCTTTCAGGGCCCAACACACTGGAACAAAAGGCGAGGATAAGACCTTTTGGCGATTAGCCGAATGGGTTCGGCAATTCTCAGATCTTCATTTCTTCGTTCTTTTAGCTGCCTTTGTTCCTTTTTTGCTCAGTAGTGTTCATGATTTCCCTCAAACTCCAACTACCTGAAACATAAGGGTTTTCATCAGATATTGAGATAAAATATGCATTTGAGGACACTAATTCTATCAAAATATAGCCCTAAATGAGTCCAATTTGTGGACTGATCAACACCCCCAACTTAAACTTTTGCTTGTCCTCAAGCAAACTCAAGCTCAGCCGTTCAAAAAGGGTATCTCGAACAGTGCTACACAAGACTCAATCATGAATGCACACAACAAAACTCAATTTACTTATGCAAAGATCAAATGTGCACTCAAAGATTCAAGTTGTGACTCACCAATATAAAATAATCTCATGCTCACAATACTTGCTTCAAATGCAAGTTCAAGCTCAACCAAAGTGTTCAAATGCCCTCACTTAAGGAGTGATTCCATATTCACACACAATGGTTTAATCATTTAAAATTCCGGAATCACATGCAACGCTCACACTTACAAAGAAGAACACAATGCATAATTTCACCTATAGGTTTGCCCGTATTTTCCAATCAACATTTGTTTCAGCTCACTCAAGATCAAAAAGGTTATTTCAAGGCTTGTAATGGGGCTGAGTGCAAATGTATGGTCATTTGTACTCACAACACTTCCTTTCCTCTTCCTTCATCATTTTCTTTAGTGCTCATAAGTCATCCTATTATCACTTTCCATGAATTGTTGGAAATCCCATTTCTTTTGTACTTTATTCTACAACTTTCTTTTTCATTTTTTTCTGTTTCTTTCTCTTTTTTTTTATATGGAGGGGTTCCATTTTTCTCAAAACCATTGGGTAAGAGGAGACTTTCCTTGCACTTCTTGACTTGCCCTTTTCTTTTCACCACACCCCCAACTTAGGCTTTTGGCCTAAGTTGGCTATTCAACTAACCATAACTTCATGAGAATTATGAGTGATGGATAAAGAAAGGTCTAGTTTTCATCAAGTTTCTTCCAAAGGAAGGTAAGGCTCAAAGGGTGTTACAATTAGGTTCACAAACTCACGAGGTAGGTCACAAAAGAGGTATATGTCAAATTGGCTCACACTCTTAGAAGTTGCCTAAGATCATGTCAAGAGATAACATCACTTAGTTGACCGGACCAACGGGGCAAATTCTAGGATCCATCATGCAAGTTCACAAGTAAGCTCATCACACTAGGCATTTACACTATAAGTCAAACAAGACTCCACACTTTCGCTAGTGTGCAATGATCATCACAAAAGACTCAATTCGATACTAGGCTAGTCATAACGAGATGTAAAGAGTTCACATATTGTCTATACAACTTCATTTGGTCTCATCGTAGCCACGCATTCATGTTCGTTCGATTGAGAGCACTATTCAAGTCATCAGTATTGATCGGAACCAAGACTTAAATTTTGCAAAAGAACATCCACATTCAACACAAGAGAGGTGGCAAAAATTTTTAGACGGGTCAAAATCATTTTGCAATTTAAAATAAAAGGAGCCACAAGCTCAAACATCCACAGAAAGCAGTGTAAACACGATTTAAACACAAAGCCCAAATATAAACAAAGTACGAACATTAATAGTACACAAAGGTGGGTAGCCTCACCCCACCACAAATAAAAATATTTTTCCTCAAATGCAATAACACAGAATCTGAAATGTAAAATAAAGAAAGACAGAGAGGGAGGTAAAGAGAAATTCTATCTATGCAGTCTCTCCATCTGTCGTGGTATCAGTGCTCGATGTGTCAGCTTGGAATTTGATAATGGTCCCCGAAGCCTCTTTAGAAGATTCAGCGGCAGCTGACTTACTGAGATTGTCCAAGTCATGAGCCGCTAGAAAGGAGTGGATAGCTGTGAAGAATCCACGCCTCCATGAGAGAATAATTGGGTCTCGGGGATTTGTTCTCTTGCTTGTACTAGGCTTCTTGCCCTCATTATCCATTTTGGGAGGATCTATTGCCTTTGTATTTTTCCTGAAATTTTTTGCTCTTGTTTGTCGGGGTGGCGTATCTCTTTCAGCTACTTTCGGTCTAGCCATTTCTGCAAAGCTTTGAAAAAAAAGTTAGAAAGTATTCAGACAAAAGCAAGGCCATTCAATTGCAGAATCACTTCACCGAACCAGTTGGCGAAGCGCTCAACGACTTAGGTGGTGCACCGAGTGCAGTGCACAGGGAATACAAGGGTGCAGACAAAGGGCGAACATGAAGCCTTTCGGCGAGGCGCCGAATGCGTTTGATGACATCATGCTTCTCGCCGAAAGTTACAGAATCAACAACACATTTAACATTGAATTAAAGGCGAGATAGGGACTTTAGGCGAACTGCCGAGTGGTTCGGCGAGCTCAACCCAGCTCGCCAAACGGCTCAACGTACCTATTCTCAACCCATCTTCTTGAATTCAACTCCGTAACCCCCGAAAGCAAAATCAAAATATGCAATAGCCAAATTAGGCTCAGACCTAGCGACACTTATGCATAACCCACAATTTTTCATCCACTATAGGGCACAATTTTCAGGAATTAACTATTTAACTCAGTACAATCAATATTATCGAATCAAAGCATGTAAACAAAAAATTTAATCCTACCAGAGAGGACCGGCACACATCATCAAAGTAATGTCATCGCATTTGAGCACAGCTTTTGATAAAAGGAACGTAGGGCTCAGAAACCAACCTTGGATTGTTGATTAAGATGCTACTAGATGCTAGGCGGCAACGCAATCCAGATCCAAGCACAATTTAATAACCAAAACACAATAGAGATGCAGCGATATTGAGAATAAAACTAGGTGCGAGTTTGCAAAGTTTGAAAATGAGGGAGAGCATAGGAAATTGAAACTTTTAACCTTTGGCTTGAAAAACCGTCCAATTCTTGCCCACTCGGCGACATTAGTCGTGAGTGCCGAACCATTCGGCGTCACGCCGAGCAATCACCTTCCTCGCCGAGTTTTACAGAATCCCCCTGTTAATGTGGGGATCTAAACGGCAATACAAATCAGGGTCGCCGAGCTTATCGGTGACTCGCGAATCATTTCTTTGGGACCGCTGAGTTTTATAGACCCCAAACCCAAGATGGGTTGGATCAAACAGCGGTGTGAGTCGAGTCACCTAATACTTTAGCGATTCGCCAATCGACATTTCCCTCGCCAATCTCTTTCTTTCCAAATGCTTCCGACACTTCTTCCTGCATAATTAAAACACCATTATTTTATCAAAGTAACATAAAGCAACAAAGGGTTTTGGGTTGCCTCCCAAACAATGCCTTAGTTAACGTCATGGCACGACACAAGTTAACACCTAGTCCTCATCCTCGGAGTCGGCTATGGTGTAACTAGGCCAATCCTCGGCAAACGGTGGATAGCGACCTGATATCAAATGGCCTATCTGGGTATCTTGCAGCTGAATTGTCATGGAGTTAGAGGTTGACGTTTCATTTAGCATTTCAATGTTCTCTTTCATCTTATTCAGCATCTTGTCTTGTGCTTCAATTTTCTATTGAATGAGTGAGAGAACTCCATCATTTTTCACGCCCTCATC